CGGGGCGGGGCGGGGCAGGGTGATTCGGAATCTGGACAAATCCGGCCATGGGTCACCAACGGAACTGCTGTCGCTCTCCGACGGTCCTATCAGTCGTGACGCGTATGTCCCACAAATCACCACAAGCACACAAAACGCGTGATCAAACACCAGTGGGGCCGGACAAACTTTCTTCCAAATCCCGACAAAAAAGAGACCCATCCGTGGTGTTTCTGACTTGATTCGCGCATACAATTACGCATAGGTCCCGTGGAGAAGCAACACAGCAAGCACCTTGGTCCTCCGACTACTAAATGCATCGCTGGAAAATTACCGCTGCATCCGTGTAGCCCCACATGGGCACCACCACATTGGAGTCGATCCCCCAGAGGGTCATGGCGCGAAAGCTCCCGGAGAAGTCTTATCCCCTTTCGCCGACGGAGGAACTCGTTGTCCACGTGCGGTTTCATCGACGCCTGATTGAAACGCAAGACGGGCTACAGTCAGGTCGGTTGTTGTCGTTCATGGTCGTTGTTGTTGTTGTTGGCATCCGAGTTCGGGTCGCGGTGGGGGGAGCACCAGAAGGGGGGAGGGGGGGTATTGGATGCATGCGCCTGACGAGTCCAACATCCAGCGCACACACGGGAGGAAAATATCACACAACACGCCGTCATGTTCGGAGAGTTCGGCACGGATCGGAGAATTGGCTGGCTTTGATCATCACATTCAAGGGCAAAACGGTTCCTAATACAGTACTTGGCCTTTTTTAGTGTCGGTCGATTCGTGCCAGGGGCCCGATTTAGTGCCGGTGAATTATCTGGACACAGAGGCAGCCCGATATAGTGCCTGATGGCACTAAAAAGAGCGGGCCCGATATTATGCCGGTTGGGCGCCGTTGTACCCCCGCGATAGTGCCCGTTCACGCGCGCTCACACACCAGTTAATGGCATCTACAAGTGTTTTGTGTTTTCAACCGCACGAAGACAGGCGTCTTTTCATTGGTCAGCCTGTTAGCGGTCGACCCCCGCAATTAAGATAAACACGCACCTAGAGACACACACACCTAGAGACAACAGACAGGCAGAAGACAGACTCCAAACAGAGAAACTAGGGTACACGTGATGCTGCAGACCATAACAACTGTACTCAGAGGCACACCATGCCATACCCTGAAGGTGCTCTACCTGGCGAAAGCAAAGATGGCGATGAACGCAGCGCAGTCCGCTAAGCGGGTGCGCCAGGCAGACATGAGATACTTTGTCGCGACGTAGTGAGGGGGGAGTTATTGCGGTGTAGTAGTAATGGCTGTTTTATTTTTTTGCAGTGCGCATCCTGTCGTGTTTCGTCTTTTTTTTCTTTCTTATCTTGGAACATCGAAGGAGGGCAAAGAGGAGTGATGAGATTGAGCTTCGTCCAAATTTTTTCACAAGTAGAATATATTTTTGCCGTCAAAGGCTAATCGGGTGCATGATGTGTGTCTGCCTATCGCCCTCGATTAGTGCTGTCAGGTTGCCCGAAATGGTGTGATCCATGTGAGGGCAATGCCACAGCTTTCTTGCCCTCAAAACATTAGGCAGCTGTTTGGTACATCTCTTCGAAAGATGGGCAGAGCGGTACAGAGCATGTAGTGCGGTACAGAGTACAGACGTTTTGGAAGCGTTCGCTCAACATCCACGCTGCGCAAGACTTCTGCTGAGGAGGGCAGAAATAAACTGTGCAACAAATATTGATAATAAAAAAACTCTGTGTTCGACAGGGTGGAACCACACGTGTCGCGAATAAGTCTGCCCACGCCCACACTACCACTTGACAAATTTCGATCAATTTTGTACTCTGTTACCCCGCAAAGCGTGAGCGCCACACCATGAAATCAAGCACGCCCTCAATAGTGCCGGACCGGCGCTAACGAGGGTAGTTCGAAACCTGAATAGTGCCCTTTTGGTACTAGTACCCTCTTGGCACTACTAGCATTAGACTAGTGCCGGTGGCCCGAGTTAGTGCCGGTGAGCGATCTGGACGCATACCGGTACTATTAAGGGCCCAGTACTGTAGTCGCCACGGGTGGGGGTTGCCAAATATCTGAACGAAACACTTCAAGTCAGCCGTATTGTGGTACAACCATAACGGCGACGAAATGACCACCTCGAAAAAATAACTTTCACGAGCTGTGCAGACGGGCCTTCCATGTGTTTATCAAGCCATGACGGACGGGAAACGGTTCACACAGCCGGGGTAGAAGCACCAACGACACCATCTGCACTCAACAGAACAAGCTGTACCCAACAGTGCTGGCGCCCAGCACCAGCACTAGCAATAACGGGGCCCATGCGCCGACAGAAGAAAGAACCTAGCGAGCCCGCCCGCCCCCAATGACGAACAAACAAACACAAAAAAAGCTACGTGGTTGCTACCTTGATCACTCCTTCAGCTGCTCAGGCCCTCTCCTCGACAAACAGGCGTGTACGAAGTATAGACCCCCACCTGCTCGAAAAAAAAATAGATCGCTTTATGTCTTCATTTCTAATGTATTCCGGACCCTCTAATCTGTGAGTAGAGATGACTCCGTTGCGTTTTTCCACAAAAAAAAAAAAAGCAACAGGCGTTACCTTTACACCGGTGGCCAGGGCCAAGGAGTACACCTTTCCCATCACGGCGGCGACGAGCCCCTTCGCCCGACCGCCCGCCATTGTGTTGTCCTCGAAGTTCCAGGGGTTGGACACGGACACGGCCCCAGCCAGAGGACGCAAGCCGTTCCGCCCCTCCTCGCCGAGGTACTTGACCTACAGGTTCGCCCCGAGGGAGTACCCGATCGCGTACAACGGCGCCTCTGGGTATCTGTTGTTGGGGTGGCGATTTTGGTTGAGGTCAGTGGTTGTTGCTGTTTGGCGCGGTATCGTATCGTGTGTAGCTGTCTTCAAGGGATTCTGTAGAGAGAAACCGTGATACGCGAAAGGTCTGGAAAACAAAAAAGTATTCAGCTAGGTATATAAACGCTTCATGGGATCGGGCCGAATTAAAGGGTGCACCACCAACTCGCGCAGCGTGTCACGTGTGAAACAAACCGAGCCTCTGGGTATGTCATACCTACAACAGGGAGGATTTGGGGAGGAGAGTGGTGGTGCTTGGCCCTTCGCCTTGAAGGGGTACACCAATCAAAATAACCTCAGTCTA